GATTTATGTATTGTTTTTAATATAAATCAAAATCTCCGGTTTAGGTGTATTAATCATTCATGTTTATAATATAAATAAAATTACTCAGATGTATATTTACTAATCAACGACAATTAGACAATCATTGACAATTCATCATTGTCACTGTCTTCTTCAAGAACCGAGATCACACGTCCGTTTATAAACAGTTTACTCAACATTTCTGACGGTTTAAAAATGTTCGCCAAGTAACGAGCGTGTGCCAAATAATAAATGGTCGCAGCTATGCGGGAGCCGCATCCACTTCCGTTCGTCCGTTGACAATAACATCGTTTCACCAATATTGCAATGATGGAAAGAGATGGATGGGCACGTCCGGTGCACCGTTTTTTGCGCGTTCTGCGCTGTACCAGTTACGTCACGAACCACGTGACCGCAGCTCTGGCACTTCGTTTGAAAAGCGAGACCAGACGGTGTTGCATGCAGAGCAGAGAAACATATTGAAAGTGGCATTAAATGACAATTTTCAACACTACACAACCAAAAATAACACGATGAAGGTGTAATTAAAATAAAATATGCAATATTTAAAAAAGGGCTTATCTGTTTCTGTTTCATTGACTAGTAACTGTGATAATTTTGAGATTTAAAATTCCCGCTAATGCAAACTGGTGTGCCTGAAGCTCATTGGTTGAAGTTGGATATGAAAGAGCCCACCTATCTCGTTCTACCATTGATATTCCAATTGAGTTTGGTACATAATCAATGTAACACCTGCAAGATTTCGGGCTCTTACGTTGTGATTGAATCAGAGTTTAAATATTGGTAGAAACGTTTTCTCCATTATTTAAATCCAAATCTCCACTTTTAGGCTCCAATTTCAAATTTTTATACTGATAATATTTGATTTTTTTTTCAGTATCGTCCATGTTGTTTAAAAATCTAAAAAAATGGTATAGAATGTTATGTGACACATTCAACGAAAATAATTGAGATAGTACTCCAACGATATAATGACGAAAGTTAATTTAAAATAATCTATATCAATTTGGTGCTAAAATTGGTTGACAAAAGTACTTCAAATTAAACTATTTTCCCCATTTCTGCAATTGCCTGATACATGCAATAGAAGTTGAGAAAAAATAAACATGAAAACCACGTTTCTCATTATATCTTTGCAACACGTCCTAGGAAGTTATTTTGTGTGGAATTCACAGCATTTTTTTCTCTTTTATATGAGCATTGCGAAGATCAACTTAGTTAGAGGGCACTTTTCATCACCTTTTTCGGCTATACCTTTTGCAGGTCATTACATTGATATTATTACTATTTTTTACGTAACAATAATCTTTACATGTTTTCCTGTAAAAATAAATTATGATACAATTTAAAAAAGCCAACGTATATACAGATCTTTTTTTATTGTTTTGACTTATTGCATTAGCACAATTTCATATATCCTCTTCTTTTTGTAGCAAATTGGCTGTCTCTTACCACCTGAACATGCACCTGTGCTCACCAAGGCTCAGTATCATTTATCCTGTGGCAAGTGTATAAGACTCCTTTTTGGGAAATCAGCATTTAGGTAATTTCCGATTTTTATCCCTCAGCATTGCTAGTCCAGGGAGGGATGGAAGATGGAATGATTATGATAATGAAGGATGCATGGACAAAACACCCATAAAACATAAAAAACACACACCCATGCTCGAAGCAGGACTCAAAGCCGCGATTCTTTCATCCGAGATCGCACAGCGCCACTGCCTTAGCGATCTCAGGTATCTGGACTGGCATATCCTCACTTACTATTTTGAATTATTTATTGTATTTTAAAACATACTTTTTCTTCAATAAACGATATTGTTGAGTACTAATAAAGTTTATTGAGCAAGGAATACATTCTAAAAAAACTTACAAAAGAAAAACAATATAAATCATGAGTAGAAAACATTCAAAATATTTTTTTTCTGAATATAATAGGCAAGAATAGATATTTATTCACAAAAATCGTTAGCATAAAAATGGCTGGCATAGAGCAAAAGTAGTTGCAAAAATTTAGGCAAAATTCTTAATACAGTAATTTTTAACCTTACAATCAATTAGATACAACATAACTGGTCTACAATCATTTTTATTAGCCGATGTCTTGAATATGAAATCTCCAATTTTAGAATAGCATTCACAGATTTCACAATTCATCAGTGTTTCAAGTCACACTGTGACTTACTGAACATTAATTACCATTAAGGGGGTTGTCTAGGACACTGGGGGAACATGCAACAAACATTCCCATAGTTGCATAGTTTTGGTAAGAGTACATAGTTTCTAACAAGATCATGGGGAATTTTTTCAGCCAAAAAGAGTCACCAATATTGTTTTATCAGTTTTTATAATGGTTCATAAATATAAAAAATTATTTGATATTTTGTTTCTAAATTCCAACGATTGCAAATGATCTTTGACCCCCAACAAATTGACTGCCCCAGCAGAGAATGGCTCCCAGATCTGCCAGCACAGGCCTGATTACTTTAACCACTCAAGCCACTGAGATTCAAAGAAACCGAATTCCAATAATTATAATATATTTCCATTTTAATTTTGATTACATAGTTCAATACTAAAATTACTAATAGGCCCCTTAGGAGAAAGTATTTTAGGGGCCCAGTTTCAGTTCAGCCCCCCATCAATATTTTTAAAATTGAAAAAACTATTTTACTTTTACTTGAAATGAAATGTGATAACACCTACGTCTGCTAATCGTTTTTAATAAATTAAACTGAAATCCAAAAAATAACAAAAAAAAAGTAACAACAACAAAAAGAAAACAATTTGTGTCAAGTCACCCCGTTTATGGTACCAGGTTATGTAGTACTTTCTGCTAGTGAAACTTACAAAATGCACAATCAAAAAATGTATATTAATAAAAACTCATTTCCCTGCTTTTCTCCTTTAATGGTCCAAGCCAGCCAAATGTTTTCTCAAACTTATAACTTTTCATGAACAAAAATATAACAAAATGATAAACATACTAAAGACACTTCATAAATGAAAAACATCACCATATAAAATAAAAAGTACTTCAATTCATTGGTTGGCGCATAAAATCTCTTAATCTATCCAGGCCTTCATGCAGACGGTTCAGTTTTTCATCAACTTCTGGAAAGTGCAACTTAATAAAAGAATCAAGGGTAACCATTCCACCTGGAATGAAAAGTACAAGGAAAGTAAAATTAATAGAGACAATTTGATGGACATACAGTGGAAAAATTAACCACGTACATACGTGGATTAATCCATAATTATTCTATGTAAGTGCTACTCTGAAAAACCTTTTATTACTTTTATAGTTATAAAGTTAGAATAGTTTTATAGTAGTTTATATATATGTGTGAACACAATTTGATACTTTATTTTCAAATTCAGAATATTATAGTTACATTTTTCATTTTGATTAACCTTCACTGTTCAATGCTTCAATTTACTATTAGACCCCACAGGAGCGGCTGATCGAGAAAGTAGTTTTGGGGCCAGATTTAGTGCAGACCCCCCCATTGATAATTTTGAAATTTTAAGCAAAAATTTTTAGCTTGAAATAAATCATGTGATGAGATCTAGGTATGCTGATTATTATGAATATATTGGGTAACTTAACTAAAAATGGAAGGGGGGGCATAGTTTCTATGGTCCACCATTGGATCTATCTCTTCCCCGAAGGTAGTTCGTTCTTAGGGTTCTATTAGGTTTTAATCTGTCTCTGATCACGTACCTGGAACTCTCAGCTCTGTCTGCAATGTGTCTAGTAGCTTTAGCACTAAATCAAAAATATCTGCATGTACTGCAACACGTTCACATTTCACTCTGGTCTTGAAACACTGTACCAATTTTTTCTGTATTTCATCATTATAACGAAGTACTTTTCTCATCAGGATTTGATCTCGGGCTCTTAGTTTTATCTGCGATGGATGCTTGTGTACTTTTGATCCTGAAAATAATGTTCCCTTCATTTGATCTTTTCCTTAAACACAATATACATTAAAACTTCTCATGTCAAGTAGAAAGTATCGAATGTAAAAAATCAATACCTTTCAGGAATCTTAATTTATTGATTCAAATATGTCAATAAGATCAACCTTTTTTCATCATATTCAATAGTTTACAGTTGTATTTAGGGTTTTGTAAATTGGCAACACATTCTCTGTCATTGTAAATATCACTTTTACAGGAACCACAAAAAGACGAAAACAAGATAACGGGAAGGCGACTCTTTCACATTCAATACTGTGCAGTTGACATGACAGACTTGGAAATGATTTGCCCATTAAGAGGATTGCCAGCCATTTAGGATCATGGATTTAGACCATCAGTCACTTTTCATCATGGATTTGCTAGACATTTCGCCAATGGTTCATTTGAATGAAGGCGCACGAGCAGCCCTGCAGCACACGCTGAGTAATATCGATGAGCAGTAAGTGAACATATAGTAGTACAGTAAGTGAAAACCGTGCTAAGTGCCAAAAATGGAATTTCAAGATAAATAAGTGAAAACTGTTTCAAAAGCTTGCAGGTCTTGACTGATGCGCAGTCTAGTAGCAACAATTTGAACTCCTAAGAATGAGAATTTCAGGTAGCCCATTTTACACTACATTGCGCATGATACTTACCATGCTTCTCAGCTCAAAATGCAAATTTTCACATTTTGGCTCTCAGCCTGGGTTTCATTTATCCTCTACAATTCATATTGGTGCACTGCAGTGAGGGATTAATATATTGTCTGCCATGTTGTATGGAGCAGAATGTTGAACAATGAAGAAGAGAGAACAGAAGTTGCACATAGCGGAGATGAAGATGGCAAGATGGATTTGGAGAGTTCTGCGAAAGGACATAGCCAGGAATGAAGTAATCAGCAACCATGAAGGTGAGGTAAATAGAAGAGAAACTTTAAAAAAAACGACTTCAGTGGTTTGGGCATGTTATGGGAAGACCTCTAAAGTGACCCACCGAGTGGAATCAATAAATAAGAAATGAGCACGGGGCCGCAGAAGAAGTGTAAAGATTGCGTTAGGGAAGATATGTGTAAGAATGGTGTCACAGTGAATATGGCACAAAATAGGAACAGCTGGAAAGTAGTGAACCGAAAAGCCGACCCCAGCAAACTGGGAATAAGTTTAGAAGAGGAAAGAGAAGAAGAGGAAGAAGAAGCAGAAAAAGAAGAAGAGGAGGAGGAAGAAGAAGAATAGGAAGAGGAAGAAGAAGAGGAAGAACAGAAAGAGGAAGAAGAGGAAGAAGAAGAGGAAGAAGAAGTTGCATTTATGAGTTCAAAATTTCTCCAAAATTAATACATGGTTACAAAAATAACCTCTTGTTTAATTGTTTAATTATTGTTTCACTTGTTCAATTATTAAATTTTTTTTTCATACCCTAGGCATTTGCCAAAATACTTCTTCTACTTCCACTATTTTCATAACATCTCACCTGTTAGGGAAGCTGCATTAGCTGACCTGTGTGCCTCCTTTTGTGCTTCTAGACGAGCAGGCATCGAAATCTTATTCTCAATCATTGCATTCTCTGTGGATGATGACAATATTGCATTTCCTGTGTCTGAGTGTTTGGGAGAACCACAACTTGAAACTCCAGTAGATAGAGGATTTTTGTCAATCAATACTGAGGTCACTGAAACCTAGAACGAGATGCATATAATACCCTACTAATATCCTGTAGCAGCAAGAATGCTGCTGAACAAAACCTCACAAAAGGTTTTTCAAAAATTAGCAAGAAGATTGCTCAAGAACAACAAATAATATAGTCTCGTATAACACTGCAATAAGTGAAATACCTATAAAAAAAATCTTCCACAAAACTGGCAATAGCATACTAGTATATGTGCAGGTCAAAAGTTTTCATATCAAGAATGTTAAAAAGGGTGCTGTTCTATTACGGAACAAATATGAGTAAATAGCAATTTAATCGCGAGCGGCCTCTTCCTTGCTGTTGGATGTCATCAGTTGTCATAAGCAGCGGCAAATTAAGTATGAAAATTCATACACGCAGTATGATTATAGGCAGAATAACACACTCAAATGCTTCCATTTTTCTGTCAATATCGAAACTTTTGCATTGTTTCTGAATTTTCCTGGTAATCTAATGAAACTATAGACACATCTCACATTGCTGTAGGCTGCATAGTTTTCTTTAAATTTTTGCACACAATGAAAATTAGTAATATAGATAGTTTCTAATCAGATAGTTTTCTTTCAATGAAATGTGGAGGTAAACAAGAGATCATGGATGTACACAGTAGATTCCAATTTTGCATTTCTGGTGTTACCTAAGATTAGGAAAGCTGAAATGTGCTTGGAGGTTGTCATTCAAATTTTGAAAAGAAATATTAGTTTATTATTTATTCATGAAATCTATTTTAAACTGCACAAATAACAGAAGGCGATAATGACGATGGCAATTGTTTGGCGTAGTAATATTATTTACAGTTACAATGGGCATCGCACATAGTGCAACATTAGTAAATTTATGTAGAAAGTGAATACACTGAACTCAATGGAAGAAAATTGTTTTTGTTTAATCGTTTGAATTTGAAATTTTGTTGAAAGTTTTGAAAAAAAAACATTTTTTCATGCTTACTTTCTTCAAGAATTTTTCAAATGGTAGTTCAAGTGTACAACAGAAATTGTCATATTATAATATTACATAACCATTAACGTCGTGAGAAAGTGCATGCTGTTGTAGCAGCAATAGTTATTTTCATTGTGACTTTCTGTTTAAACAACTAACCTTCGGATTTTCCTCTGTTTCATCAATATCCATATTTTCAACATCAGCAATCCCAATCAGCTCTTTTTGATTGTACTTTTCAGAGCAAACTGTGGGTTCTACTTTTTGAACCCTCTGGTAAGGGGGCTGTTCGCACTTATTCAAGGAGATGGCTGCGACCATTAGAGCTCCCATGGCTGTGTTCGGTTTCCCTTTAATAAAACAAGAAGCATATTGCACTTTTATAAATCTTGGTACCTGTAAGATGGAACTCAAGAGTCATTAATTAAATATTAATAATATAATATATTATAATTAATAGTAATGATAATTTCAAATGAAATACTTTTAAATTTCACAGTAGCATTTAAAATTAAAACTATTTTAAGACAGGAATGAGAAAATGAATTTCATGATAGGTATCAGTGATTCACTTCTGTTAAATTTTATTGTTTAAAAGATTGTTTTTCATTTAAATTCATTTTAAAAAGCTCATTATTATTGAAAACGTTTTTTTCCTCTCACTTACAAAACAAAAGAAATGGAGGTTATCACTCTTTGACCAACCTCTTAAATATGAATGGGGGGAAAACCAAAAGGGCATAAGTGACATTATCTGTTTATTTAAGTCAATATCACTATAAAGTCAGTGTGCATTATTTCATTATTAAAACCACAGCATTTCAATTGTTCATTAAAACCACGAAAGTACATTGCCCCTGAAATAGTCTAAAATAAACACGTTTTCCTCAGAATTTATAAAATAATTTTAATGAAAGAAATTGATGTTCATTAGTTAGTCAGTGTTGATAGTAGGATTCAAAAACTATTTTTGTGACAAAAAATTACTGTTTCATTGTGAATAGAATTGATCATTGTTACAGTAGCGGATTTAGTAAGATTTGAAATTGAGAAGTTCAACTTAGCTTTGAATGAATTTAGTTCTTTGCAGAACATTTGTGTGTGTTAGGAATGTAACTCATTTCTCCTAGCAGTGATGTGAGGGAAATCATTACACCACCAAATGTGTTCTCTAACAAACCTGGCAAACTGATTGGCAAAGTTTCCTCTTTCTTCTCTATCTTCAAAGGTTTGCCCAATGCATTCACTCTGAAATAATAAAATTATACTTAATATTTTTAACACATACAATTTGTGACAATCCAAAGCGAAGAAAATTCAACTTACTCTTCAATTTGATCTTTATCAACTCTGTGATGCCTGTGTTCAGCGTGCGCTTCTGATACTTTTTGATTAATTAGCATGTTTGTAAAGATAGCCAAAATGTCTCTCATGACCTTCTGCGTTTCAGCTGGAATTTAAATAAGAGTTATTAATATATTTTTCTAAATCTAAAATTGCTATTTGCATTTGTTATATCATTTTCTTGTTATACTTGTACATTGCGGATCTATTCATGATTGTATAGCTTAGATTTTATCCAGAACTAAAACTGTGGGTTGTGACCTACTGTGACAAGTACACTTTCTTCCTCAACCTTGTCCCCTCCTCTTCCCTACACACACAGACATACATTTTTCACTTCACTAACACTCATTTCGAAAGACCAATCAGGAGATTAAAGATTGTCTCGGATGTGGAGGTTTCTTGCTGGGGTGAATATCTGAAGAGAGAAACCCCGCACGCCATCTTGTAGGTCAATGCCAGATCTCATGTTCTAGAAGGGGAACACCTGCACCTTCCAGCCATAAAATGCACACAAGACTAATGACCAAAGACTCGTAATTACCTAAAATCTCACCCATGAACAATATGGAGAAATATTGAGCTTCTTAGCTTCAAAACTGTTTCAGAACTTGCAGAATATGTTTAAGATGAGAAAAGCTAAGTGGATATATGTCACTTTAGAAAGGCAATACATTAAGTTCTTGGAGTTGAGAACTTTTAATGACTGCTAATTTAATACAAACCAAAGTATGATAACCTTGACTGCACTTTATCGTAACACATCTAATAATTATTAATTCCATTCAAATTCCAGCTTAGTAAAAAAATCGCAATATTTTAGTTTATCAAAACTTTTCTTTGATCTCGGATTTGAAATTTCATGCAGGTTTTCATGCATCCAAATTATGCCAATGAACTTTTCTACTCTTACAACTTGTTTGAGTTGGGACTTTTCACAAGTCTTTGCTGGCCATTTTAAAATATTATTCCATTCATTGTGTCTTGGCATAAAATTACTGGTCAACTGATAATGGGTTGTACAAAGACAGAAATTAAAACAATGATACTAAGTTCTAAACAAACATTCGAAATTCCATGGTCCAGTTAACATCCATTGCAATGGTATATACTCAATATAGACTCGGATTATTCTTCTAAACAATGAGAAGTGTGATTGTTTTTCCAAAGTGTGGAAAATCTTCAAACTTAAATTCAGTGGACACTGGTCACTTGTTTTCATATGCATTGTTCACAGGTTGTCAGATAACCCTAGCTAGGTAGCACAAGAAGGCACTAACATCTAAAACTAAGTCTGGAATGGACTAGGATCATTTTTCACGAGTATTGATTAACTGATTGATTGATTGATTGTTATTCCGGGAGCATCAATGACTGTGGTCATTAGCCACGTAACTGTAGCTCATGTTTTTGCTTATATGGTGACGTGTTCTCCCCTGCTGTATGGTGAGATCTGGCACCGACTTACCGTCAGCTAGCGGAGTTTTCCTTAATCAGGTATCTCCTACCACTGGGGCACCGCCCCAGCCGGGACAAGCTCTAAACTCCCGAGCGGTCTCCCAGGATGTGTGATAGTGTAGTGCATATTAGTGTAAGTGTTTGTAAGAGGTGAGAATAGTAACTTTAAAAGCTTAGACAGCTATAATTAAGAGTTCTCAAAAGATATTTATGCATTAGGAAGTAGACTTAACCGATTATTCAGAGCATTAATGTCAGAGCAGAAAAATGAGAAGCCTCTTTATGCTTAAATCTTGGACAAACCTGGTATTTTTTGTGGCTGATTAGGTATGACCTTCTCCTTTTTCTGTATCTCTTGATGATGACCAACTCTTTTATTTTTCTTTTTAAATTTATCAAGTCTGAAAAAAAAATTACTTAATAAATTTATTTCACTTGTGTTATACCCAATTATTTTTTAAGAGGAAAGTCTACACTTACCCTTTAATTTTGTGGTCTTTTTTACCACTTTTGTGACCCTGAGTAGCTTTTGCTTCTGAACTGTTTTCATAAAGATTTGCAAGGTTTTGAAGATGATCCATTATTTCTTTCCTGTTCTTCTCTATTTTATCTGCAATTCCAAGATTGTCTAACATATAATAAAAATAGGCACTATGAATCATAATGAAAGGGTAGGCTTCCGGGGCCGGAGTGAGTATCTAATTAGCTGTCCAGCAGACACCCTGGCTCGAATCCAAATGTTTTGACAGACCAGAACCCAATGTCTCCTGGTCAGTCAAGCAGATATTATCCCTGATACCCATTGATATCAGATTTCTTATACTTGAAATATGGGTGTTCCCTTCATATGTTTCAAAATTCATTTTCTTTTACACTTTGACATGCTTTTGATACGGCTCATGTCATTGTGTTGTACTGATGCCTTACATTTAACCGTGTTTAATGAACTACTGATTAAGAATTTGCAATATTGTCTGAAGGTAGAAATTTACATTGATTAATTTGACAGTGTTCTTTGGAGGCTTTGAAACACAGAATGTGGGTAATAATTTTTTTTATATACTGAATGCAGTTGAGTATGCTGTTACAGTTGTGTATTGAGCAAGATTTGAAACTGGCTAGAGAGAGATAGACTCATTTTCTCACAGAATGTTTTTATTTGTTATGAACCAAGAGTAAGCAATTCTTCACAGCAGTATTCAGTAATTTAGTATAATCCTTACCTAGTATCACTTTTTCTTTTGGTGATCCTTTGAAAGTAGGGTCATCTTTTATCAGTATAGAGAAATCATAATCTATGTTCAGTTTCATAAAAAGTTGATTTGCTCTGCAAAAACAAATTACTACTTAATACATTTTGTTTCACTCAAGATTTTGTTATATTCATTCTATTTTAGAGAAGTAAATTAGAGTCTTACTCTTTAACTGTGGCTTCATCATCTCCAAGTTTCACATCCACACCAATCATTTGTGTGAAGTTATGAGCATCAGGCATAGTTCCTTTTCTGGTCTTCTTAATACAGGCTGAAAACATCAGTTATTAATATATTTTAAAGCGTTTCAAACTACCTTCATCTGAATTTTTTCTTATCTTAATGAATCTCAAGCTAGTTTAAATTTCATATGTTGTATTAAATATTAAATATAAATATTTTTGTAAATACAATTAAGCCTCTGGAACTGTTATTTAGTCTCTGTCAACACTCAACACATGACGTCATACGCCAGCAAGAACCAGGACTCGTCCGGACGTGGGCAGAGCAACTGGCTCCTGGTACATTGTAATCTCACACTGTGGTCTCTTTGAACAGGCAAACTGAACCAATATATTTCCTTGCTTATCACACCGAAATTGACAACATGTAATATTATTTGTTTTAGGTTTCACTTGAAGTAGATATTGCAATTGACATCTTAGTCGTTCCTCCACTTAAAACTAATGGTGATACAAAAGCACACACTTTTTGCATTATTTCTAACTATTCTGCAATACTACTACAGAAACCTGTAAAGGTGTTTTCAATCAGCAAATACTTTTTTTCGCTCTAAGACCCGAACTCAGATACTCAAAGTTAAATTGTCGACACTCGTACTGCTATGTCACATAAGTGCTGAATGGAACTCGGGCAGAGGCATAAAAACATAAATGTCTACTTCATGTAAAAAAAAAACTCAAAATGAAAATATCTGTTTGAAACTCCCAAAGCCACCAGCTTGTTCAGATCAATCAGGGAATATCAATTTTGGAGAAAATCAGCTGAGTGATTCACATGGACAATCTTCTCTTTATATGAAGTCCCTTCATAAGGGTGAAAAAGTAAAAAGTGCTCGAGCCAACACAGCCGAGATCCAAGGCAGGCACCAGCTTACATGGCTTAGGGCATCAATTTATATCTCTGCATTGATTCTGCCTGGGAAGCTTCAGGTTTGAGTCCCGGCTATGGCAGGATTTTCAAGATTACTTACGTAGCTAGGTCAAATTCAGTCATTGCGTGGAAAAGAATTCTAGTGACCACCTGCTCTAATGGGTAGTTTTCCATAGTTTCTCTGATCAAGAGCGTGAATGGCAGAGCAGTACCCAAACAAGTGGGCCACAAACCGTGCGTGATCTCTCCTTCCTCTTCCTTGTTTTATTCTCACCCATTACTTATATACTCAGTTAACCTGCTCTACACTACCACACATACTGGAAGACCAGTAGGGAGAATACAGCTTGTCCACCTGTCAGTGCCCTGCTGCGGCTGGTGGGAGACACTAGGTTAGGGAAACATCCATGCAACAGTGGAAAATCACCACCTCTTCCCACGATGAAAAGACACAATACACTTTTGGGACTAATGACCTTAGCAGTTGACAATCTTGGAATATGTAATCAAACAATCGAACGCAGGCTTGGAGGCGGTTAGTTGTCATCACTCCTTGCCTGCTCCGGTCGAAATCAAGCCGATGCTTGCCAAAGCAGAGAGCGATAAAGATACACAGTGGTGGGTGTATGGGGGCACAGAAAGAATCTGAAATTTAACAGAAAAAATTCTATTCAACTTTGTTTTCTTAATGTGACGACTCTTTTTCTCAACAAGAGAAGTTATAATACTTGGTGTCAGTCCTTGGGTCATAGTAATGCATTAAACAATCTTTAATGTCTGATTCTGAAATTTTATTTATTCTCTCCGATTGCATTGGCAAAGGCAAGCTACCTAGTGGGAAAGAACAAAGGGAACTAAACAGATTTAACTCTTTTTCGATGTCAAGAACATCACAGCATTTTGAAGAGAAAGACTTGCAGACTTTCATGAGCTTAATTTCATACACCAAAAAGGCAATTGAAGATATAGATTTGGGAAAGTGAGGTGACTGAAAAATTGTCAAAGATCCACCCTTCGGAGCTGCCTTGTACATAAGGGTTCTCACAACTCATTTATGCATGTTAAAAAGTAGATGTAACCAATAATGCAGCATTGATACTTAAGAATAATGAAAAACTCCCTTGTGCTTATGTAATCTCAGACCAACCTGGTATTTTGTTCAGCTCATTGGGCATATTTCTCTTCATTTTCAGCATCTCTCGATTATCAAGTCCTTCACTTCCCTTCTTTATTTTGCCAACTCTGAAAAAGCAAAATTTTACTTTTTAAATGTATTGCACTTACGGGTCTGTGATAACCAATTTTTAGAAAACAATTCAACACTTACTCATTGATTTTACAACCTTGTATGTCTCTTTTGTGACCATCAGCAGCATTTATTTCCAAAACTTTTTCAATATTTTGGGTGAACATTGAGTCAACACGAGCCATTATTTCTTTTGTCTTCTTCACAATTTGATCTGCAACTTCAATTACAAATATTACTGGATACTTATGCATCTCACTGCTTTCGTCCAAATTGTTTACTATTAATTTTTTATTTCACATGAAACATACATTAGTACAATGACTACACACTTCATTACAATAATGTGAAATTTAAACTACCTATAATTTCTTTCAATTTATTATTACATGCTCACGTCTATTGATGATTGTCTAAATTGCAATAAAAAATAGACTGTCAATATTTAAAGTAGTAAGTTATATACACTCTGGTGAAGGACATCAGGTAATATAAACAGTACGCCTCATAGCAAGTAATAAAAGTTCTAGATTTTTGAAAAAGTGCATAACATTCACATATTTGAAAATGTATTTGCTTCTACCATTTAATAGACCTTTGGTAAATCCAATGTCAACGCATAGTCCCAAACCTTTACATTTCACTCATGTTTAATTAATGCTGATCACCTAATTATATTTCCAATATTACCAAAGAAAGAAATTACCTTCCATTACTTAGTAGGTATTTTTTTATGCTATGAAACAACCTTCCTGACTAACAAATGTTTGTGAATGCATGTGATTATATGGTACGGAAATTGTAAATTTAGCCAGAAATATAACCCAATTATTGCTGAAAAATGGAATAGTTTTCCAACACACATTATAAACACTTACTAAAAAAGTGTAACTGTTTCTATCAAGAAGTGACATCTTGAGATATAGAAAAAAATATGTATGTACTAACCTAGACTTGTTGATGGCTCTTTGAGCATACCATCATCTCCCCTTTGCATCTCAGGAAGTTGATCGAAGGTTTCCTGATTTTTTCCACCTTGTTCCAACCTGTAAAAAGTTTTGTTTTATTAATTTCATGCACAAATGTTTTGTTATATCCATGATCTTTCAGGAATCAAATTCAACACTTACTCCTGTAGTTTCAGATACTTTAAATTTTCTTGGTATATCTCTTCAGCTTTCGGATCTACACAATCTTTCTTAACATTTTTGACATTTTGGTCATTAGGCCCCATTTCGTGTCTGATCTTCTTAATTGCACCTGGAATTTCAATAACAAATTTGAGAATTTCTCCTACAGACATTGTAAATTAAGCCAGAATTATATCCTGAGGGATGCTAAAAGAGAGATTAGTTTCCCCGCACAAAATATTGTCGCGTGGTAACGTAGTATAACTGTTTCTATCAAGAAGTCATGCCTTGAGATATAGAAAAAAATATGTGTGCACTCACCTAGACTAATTGATGGCTCTTTGAGCATACCTTCATCGTCACTTTGCATCTCAGGAACTTGATCGAAGGTTTCCTGATTTTTTTCACCTTGTTCCAACCTATAAAAAGTTTTGTTTTATGAATTACTTTCACAAATTTTTGATTTATCCATCATCTTTCAAGAATAAAATTAATAAAATCAACCCTTACTCCTGTAGTTTCACATGTTTTAAATTTTCTTGGTATATTTCTTCAGCTATCGGATCTACACAATCTTTCTTAATTTTTTTGACATTTTGGTCATCAGGCCCCATTTCGTGTCTGATCTTCTTAATTGCACCTGGAATTTCAATAACAAATTTAAGAACTTCTCATACAGATATTGTCAATTAAGCCAGAATTATATCCTGAGGGTTGCTGAAAGAGAGATTAGATTCCCCACACACATTATTGTCACTTTGTAACATAGTGTAACCGTTTCTATCAATAAGTGATTTTTGGGATATAGAAAAAAATATGTATGAACTAACCTAGACTTGTTGATGGCTCTTTGAGTATACCATCATCTTCTCTTTGCATCTGAGGAAGTTGATCGATGTTTTCCTGTTTTTTTTCTCCTTGTTCCAATCTGTAAAAAGTTTTGTTTTATGAATTTTATGCATTAAAGTTTTGTAATATCCATGATCTTTCAAGAATAAAATTCAACTCTTACTCTTGTATTTTCAGATATTTTAAATTTTCTTGGTATATCTCTTCAGCTATCGGATCTACACAATCTTTCTTAATTTTTTTGACGTTTTGGTCATCGGGCCCTATGTTGTGTCCGATCTTCTTAATTACACCTGGAATTTCGTTAACAAATTTAAAAACTTCTCTTCTGTTTCAAATTGCTTTACTCTGCAGTTAGTCCACAAGTCTAGAGTCATTTTTATGAACAGTTAACTGTATATTTTATTCAATAGTATATTATTTTGTGATGACTACAAATGAATTTCTAGCGAGAAAATAATATTGATTAATTAGCGTTATTCTATATCGTTATGAAACAAAGTTTTTGACTAACCATAGGTTTGAAGTGAGTGATGAAAGTAATGAAGTTTTCTCACAAACATTATTGTCACTTAGTATCAAAGTTATATATGTAATAAGTGATGTCTTGAGATTTTTGGAGGAAAAAGTATTCACTAACCTAGACTTGTAGTTGGTTTTTTCATCATACTATCATCTTCTGTTTGCATCTCAGGAAGTTGATAAAAGCTTTGCTGTTTTTTTTCAACTCCTTCTGACCTGTAAAGAGTTTTATTTTATAAATTTAATTCACAAATGTGTTGTGATATGTATTATCTTTCAATAAAAATTCAACCCTTACGCTTTTATTTTCAGATATTTTAAATTTTCTTGATTAATCTGATCAGCTACCACATCTAAACATTCTTCCTTAATTTTTTTGTCAGTTTCATCATCAAACACTATTTTGTGTTTGATCTTCTTAATTTTACCTGGAATTTCAGTAACATATGTTATTTCTTTTTACTCCATGTCAAATTGCTTTACTCTGCATTTTGTACCCAATACCATGATATTTTTAATAGTTAACTGACCTCTTTTTGTAATAGTATATTTTGTAAAGAATACAAATAATTTACTAACTAGAAAATATTATTGTTTAAATATTCAGTATTCTTTGCCACTACAAAACAAACTTATTGAATAATAATTGTTTATGACTGCACATTATTATAATGGTATTGAAATTGTGAATTATGAAAGAAATAGAATCAAAGGGTTGCTGAAAATGAATTAGTTTTCCCACGATACACTACTTCTTTCAAATAGAGTTGTCTAGAGATATACATAAATAATACAAATTCACTAACCTAGACTTGTTAGGTTTTCAAACATACTATCATTCTTTCTTTGCTTCTTAGGAAGTTGATCACAGCCTTCCTGTCTTTTTTCAACATGAACTAACCTGAAAAATATTTTTATTATTAAATTATATAAATTTAATTCACAAATGTTTTGTGATATCCATTATCTTTCAAGAAAAATTTAACCCTTACTCTTGTTTTTTCAGGTGTTTTATATTTTCCTGATATGTCTGTTCAGCTACCACATCTACATATTTTTTCTTACATTTTTTGACACTTCGAACATCAGACACTATTTCATGTCTGATCTCCGTAATTGCACCTGAAACTTCAATAACAATTACAAATATAACTTTTTCTCCATGTTATATTGCTTTACTCTGCATTTGGTCCACAATACTATTTTTTTTTAAGATTTATCTGACCATTTGTTTCAATAGTATATTTTATGATGACTAGAGATGAATTTCTAACATGAAAATATGATTGAATATTTAGTTAGTATTCTTTATTGTTATGAAACAATCTAATACAAATAATTGATAGTGAATGAATGTGATATCAATGGTAATGAAATTGTGAATTGAATTTTATAGTTAATAGTGAATTAAGAAATATAACCAGAGGGTTGCGTAACTATTTCATCCAAGAAGAGATGTGAAAAGATATAGATGAATAAAATATGTATTTACTAACCAAGACTTGTTGTAGGGTTTTTGAACATACTATCATTGATTCTTTGAATCGTAGGAAGTTGATCAAAGCTTTCCTGTTTTTTTTCAACTCGTTCTAACCTGTAAAAAGTTTTGTTTCATAAATATTATGCACAAATGTTTTGTGATATCCATTCTCGTTCAAGAAGAAATTCAACTCTTACTCTTCTGTTTTCAGATGTTTTTTAACTTGTTGATATTTATGTTCAGCTACCACATCTAAACATTCTGTCTTAATTTTGACATTTTGAACATTAGGTAATATTTGGAATCCAATCTTTCTAATTGCACCTGGAATTTCAATAACAAATATTAAGAAATTTTGCTTCATGTCAAATTGATTTACTTCTCAGTTTGTCTAGAATACCATGATTTTTATAGCAGTTAACTGACCATCTTATTCAATTGTATATTTTATCAAAGACTACAGATGACTTTCTAGGAACTAATAGAAAATATTATTGATTAATTAGTTAGTATTCTTTGCTACTATGAAACAAACTTCTTGACTAAGTGTTTGTGAATGCATGTGATTATATAGTGATCCTGAAATCCTGAATTTAGCCTGAAATTTAACCTGTGGGATGCTGAAAAAGGGATTAGTTTTTACACAAATATTATTGTCAAAAAGTGAAACTATTTCTTCCTAGTAGTGATGTCTAAAGATATGGATAAATAAAAACATATTCACAAACCTAGTCTTGTTGGCTTTTTGCACAAATCATCATTTCTTTGCATCTCAGGAAGTTCATCAAGGCTTTTCTGTTTTTCTTCAACTCTTCCTAACCTGAAAAAAAGTTTTATTTTATAAATTTAATTGACAAATGTTTTGTAATATCCATTATCGTTCATGAAGAAATTCAACACTTACTCTTTCATTTTCAGATGTTTTAAGTTTTCCTGATATATCTGTTCAGCTACCACATCTACACATTCTTCCTTATTTTTTTTCACATTTTGAACATCAGGCAATATTTTATTACTGCTCTTTTTACTTGCACCTGGAATTTCAATAACAAATAGGAATTTTGCTCCACATCAAAATGCTTTACTCTGCATTATGACCTTATCATGTTTTTATTTTTATTTTAATTTCTCAAAAATACTTAATTGAGGATTATTACAAGATATACACCAGACATGGATAATTAATTTTCAAAATGTTATCACTTAACTGTTCAAATATTCAATAATAATTATTATTATTAATATTGTTAATAATAATAATAATAATAATAATAATAATAATAATAATAATAATAATAATAATAAATAATAATACTTATTCAATAATATATTTTGTAAAACCACAGATTATTTTCTAACTTGTAGTAAACATGAATCTTCTATATTTCAAAAAATATTATCAGTCTGCAATTAAAACAAAATAATATCACATATCCTCATTGCTATAGAAGGCATACTTATCTTTATACTTTCCAAAATGTATTTCAATGTACCATTTAATATCCTTTTCCTGAGATATTTGTGACTAATAAGTCATAAGATATTAAACTTCATTGTATTTTATTACTAATACTGCTAACTCAAAAATTATTGAAACTTTTTCACAGAAAGATATTAACATTGATTTATCATCCATTATTTATTGAAAGCATTGAATCCTCCTAACAAATAACTTTTGCTTACATTGTGAATGCATTTGATTATATAATTGTAGTTGATGGATTGCGGTAGTGAAGAAACTTGAAGCTTAGAGATACTAGATTACGAACAATTTACTACCACCGAATATCATAGTGTTTTCAAAGTGTGACTGACTGTTCAAAGCACTGATATCACAGGATATCTAATAATTGTTTATACGTCTTCATCCGGCCTACCTGAAATTTGGGGTGTCTTTTTGGCTACACATCCATCCTTTCTTTGCTTCTCCAGCAGATCAATGAATCTTTCTTCTTTTTTCAATGCGTTTCCTCTGAAAAATATACAAAATTATACATTATTTCTTTAACAGAAATTTTGTTTTGCTAATTTCCTTTTATGAAGATAAATCAACACATACCCTCTCCTTCGATGACTTTTCTTCAATCTTTTTTGATCTTGGGGTGCATTTTTTTCCAAAACTTCATTTGCTCTTCTCAGTTTCAGTACACCAGGGAGAATTTCTTTACTTACCTCTTGAATTTGGCCTGCTAATTAATTACATGTTATTAGTATCTTTTTTGCATTTAAAACTGCCTTCTTTGCATTTTTAATTATGTTTTCTTTTTCTTTTGAAAATGTATGCTAATACATATTATGTACCAACTACAAGAAAAGTTATTGAAAATTAAATCTACAATCAATAAATTATTTTATTCAATGATATTCTGTGAAGTTTATTGATCTTAAGCCCAGTAAAAATAGATGGCAAGAGGTGTATTATCAGAGTTGTACATATGAATCCCCCTCATGAAAAGTCCAAGATATTGTCTTCTTCCTCCTCGCCCTCTTGAAAAAAATGCTATGAAAAGGCACTCTTCAAAGGTTCCCAATAATGCACTTACAGTGCATTTTAGGCATAAAATGTAGTCATACCAACCTTAGAGAGCAATTAATTTTCCATCAGTTTACATTAATGTTTTGAAATTTAACACGATATCTTGATATATGACAAGACCTTTGAGGAAGGGGCATGGCCCCCAACACCTTTCTTTGATCCGCCACTGTGTCAATAACACGTCTTTCATAGTCAATGAAGTTTACAATTGTTTAGTTGTTATAGAATACTACACTAAACCACTTTTCCTGTTGTTTACTACTTATTTATTGTTTTGGAACCAACTATAATCTGATAAATAACATTATTCAAGTTTCAAACAGCGTGCATTTAAGCAAGGCTCATTCCATTTTAAATCCCTCTGAGATGAAAGTCATAGCCTGTTCTTGGACTGCATGTCAATTGGCCACATCTCACAGCTCTTCGGCAGTAAGAATACAAATTGCTAATAAAAGGAGGTATACAACTAATGAGTGTATATCCTCGCCTCTGGCACTGTAATCTAGAGACATCTCTGTCAATGCGCCACGGAGCTCAAGCAACATCACACATCAGCAACAATCAGGACTCTTCCAAGTGTGGGGAGAGTAGGTGGCTCCCAGTACAATGTAATCTAATACCATGGTGTCTTTGAACAGGCAAACAGAACTGATAGATTTCCTAGCTTATCACATCAAAATTGACACATGTAGTATAATTTGATTTTGGTTTTATTTGACGCAGATTTTGCAGTTGACATCTTAGTCTTTCCTCCTCTTTAAACATTGCATGAGCCACCAAGGCCGAGATTCAAGGCAGACACCGGCTTAAATGTGTCAGGGTATAAAATTGTGTCCCTGCAATGCCTCTGACTGAAAAGTCAGTGTTCAAGTCCTGTCGGTGACTGAATTTTTGACACTAGCTCTGAGTGGCTGTTTTCCGTAGTTTCTCTAATCAACACCAGGAAAATGCCAATATAGTACCCTAACAAACGAGCCACAGAATGAGTCCGATATTTCTGCCTTGTCCTATTTTTACCCATTACATACACTCACATTTACATGCAATACTCTACCACACATGAGGGAGACCATTCGGGAGTTTAGAGCTTGTCCCAGATGAAGGAGTGCCCTGTTACAGCTAGTAGTTTTGGAAAAACCCGCGAGCCAACGGGTAAGTCAGCATTGGATCTCACCATGCAAAGGTTGAACACCACTAATTTCGCCAGATACATATGCACTACACTTTTTGGACTAATGAGCTTAGCTGTTGACTTGCTCGGACTCACTAAGCAATCAAGGCAGGCAGAAAAGCCGCCAATTGTCATCGCTCCCTGCCTGCTGTCAAAATCAAGCCGATGCTTGCTGAAGCTGGGAGTGATAAGGAAGAAAAATTTCTATGCATTATTATTTTGTTAATGTTACATCTTTTTCTTAACATGAGAAGTTATATTTTGTGTCAATCCTTGGGCTATTGTAATGCATTAAATGAACTTCAATGTCATGTTCTGAAATTGGTTCTTTCCTTTTTATACATTTTGTTACAGGAAAAAGCTATTCACATTAATATTTTGACTGCAACAGACAATCTTTGTTGCATTTTTATGAAGCTTGGAGAAGATATCCTCATGTAGATTCTGATTCTACTGCTTCAAATTACGGGAATCGGAATTAAGATGGAGTTCTCCAAACCGATTATTACATTGTGAATGCATTTTATTATAGAGTTGATGTTGATATACTGTAGTAGATATAAAACTTGAAGCTTAGATGTAACTTTGATAGAATTTAGCATGATCACGGAACATTATGCATTTTTGGATCAAATGTGACCGATTGTTCAAAGCACTGTTGTCTCAGTATATCAAATAACATTTTATACATCATTTGCTGACATACCTGAAATTTGTGGTGTCTTATAGGATGCAGAGCTATCCTTTCTTTGCTTCTCGTAATGTTCAATATATCTTTTATCATTTTTTGATGACTGAAATAATGTCATTCTGAAAAAGAACAAAATTTTACCTTATTATTTATTCAATAGAAATTTTGTATAACCCATTTCCTTTTAAGAAGAAAAATCAATACATACGATTTCCTTTTATGACCTTTCTCTGAGTTTGTATGATCTTGGCGTGCATTTTTTTCCATAACTTCAATTGCTTGTTTCAGGTTTTGAAACTTGAGACGAATATTTTTCCTTGCCTCTTCAATTTGGGATGCTAATTAATACATGTTATTAGTATGTTTTACATTTAAAACTGCCTTCATTTGTTTTCCTTAATGATGTTTAGTATTTCTTTCATATGCTAATGTATATCATATACTAGCTACAATGACAATTAAAGACAAATTAAAATTACAATAAATACATTTTTGATTCAATGAGTTCTGTGAAGTTTATTTATCTTTTAGCCCAGTAAAGATATAGGTATTTATACTTTTTAGTTATTATAGCTAGATATAGTATTTTAGAAAGCAAAACATGGATTATCAGTAGTTGGACATACGGATCCCCTCGTGAAAAGTCCAAGTTATTGACTTCCTCCTCCTCACGTCTTGAAAAAATCGTTAAGAAAAGGGACACTTTAGTGGTTCCCAATAACTCGCTTTCAGTGCATTTTAGGCAAAAAATGAACTAATACCAATCTTGGAGAGCAATACATTTCCCGAGAGTTTTCTTAACATGAGAAGTTATATTTCATATCAGTCCATGGGCATTTGTAATGCATTAAACGAACTTCAATGTCTGGTTCAGAAGTTGGTCAATTCTTTTTTATTGGTTTTATTACAGAGAAAAATATTAAGATCAATTTATTGACTGAAGCAAAGACAAACTTTGTTGCATTTTTATTAAGCTACGAAAGGATTTCCATGCAGATAAGGATTGCACTGCTTAAATTTAGGCAAATCAAAATTAAAATGGAGTTCTCCAAACTTGTTAGTACATTGTGAATGCATTTTATTATAGAGTTGATGTTGATGAACTGTGGTAGATATGAAACTCAAAGCTTAGACGTAGCTTAAAAATAATTTAGTATCATCACAAAATATTATGCATACTTCAAAGTGTGACTGATAGCTTAAAACACTGGTGTCTAAGGATATTTTTTTGTTACTTGTTTCATGTTTATACCTCATTCTCTGACATACCTGAAAGTAGTGGTGTCAAATTGGGTGTAGTGCGATCCTTTCTTTCCTTCTCCAAATTGTCAATAAATCTTTCTTCTCTTTTCGATGTGTTCTCTCTGAAAAAATTAACAAAATTTACCTCATAATTTATTTAATAGACTTTTACATTACCCATTTCCTTTTTTGAAGAAAAATCAATCATACCTTTTCTTTTCAGGATCTCTCTCTGATTTCTGATGATCTTGGTGTGGATTTCTTTCCAAAACTTCACTTGCTTGTTTGAGGATTGGAACATCAGGGAGAATTTCCTTACTTGCCTCCTTAATTTGACCTGCCAATTCATTACATGTTTTAGTATCTTTTTTGCATTTAAAACTGTGTTCATTGCATTTTAATTATTTTTTATGAAATTGTTAAAACATATACATATCAGTTACAAGCTACAATAGAAACTATTAAAAATTAAATTTGTAATCAACAAGTTATTTTATTCAATGAGATTCTTTGAAGTTTACTGATCTTTTAGCCTAATAAAGATTGTATTTTAATGGCAAAAGCTGGATTGACAAAGTTATTGACTTTCTTCTCCTCCTCCTCGCCATCTTGGAAAGAAAAAGAAAAGAAAAGGAAAAGAAAAAAACACCAACAACGCACACTTTAGTGGTTCACAATAACTCAGTTTTTGTTTCCCAATAACCCAGCATTTTAGGCAAACAATGTACATTGTGAATGCATTTTATTATAGAGTCGATGTTGATGAATTGTGGTAGATACGAAACCCGAAGCTTAGACTTAGCTTAGAAATAATTTAGTATTTATTTTAGAATATTATTCATACTTCAAAGTGAGACTGACTGCTTAAAGCACTGGTGTCTAAGGATATTTTGTCGTTACTTATTATTTGTTCTTTATACCTCATTCTCTGACATACCTGAAATTTGTGGTGTCTTATTGGGTACAGAGCTATCCTTCTCCAAATTTTCAATAAATCTTTCATCTTTTTTTGATCTGTTCACTCTAAAAAAACAACACAATTTTACATCATTATTTATTTAATAGAAATTTTGTAATACCCATTTCCTTTTGAGAAAAAATCAATACATACCCTTTCTTAATATGATCTTTCTCCGATATTCTATGATCTTGGGGTGCATTTTCTTCTAAAACTTCATTTCCTTGTTTCAGATTTGGAGCATCAGGCAGAATTTCTTTACTTGCTTCCTCAATTTGTCCTGTTAATTAATCACTTGATATTAGTATATTTTTTTCCTTTTAAAACTGCCTTCCCCTGTATTTTTTAATGTTGTTTTTTATTTCTTATGAAAATGTATGCTAATACATATCATATGAGTTACAATAAGAGTTATTGAAAATTGTAACACGTAAAAGGCATTGTATATATTACAATAAGTTATCTACACTTTAGTGCAGGAAATAAGGTAATATGAAACAGGATCTCCGATACATAATGATACCAGAGTTCCAGATTTTTGATGTGGTTGTGCTGTATTTACATTGTTTTAAATATATTTGCTTCTACCTTTTAATATGCCTTTGGTTTATTGACTGATAGGAACAAAGTGTAAGTATTTCATCAGAGTTCTGATGTCTAATGAAATAAATAACTAAAAGTATTGATTGACTCACCTTGCCTTGTTATCGGTTTTTTGAACGTATTATCATTCTTTTTCTGCATCTCAGAAAGTTGATCAAGTCTTTCTTGTATTTGTAAATTATCCTTTTGTTCTAGCCTTGTTGGCTTTTTAAACATATTCTTTTTCTCAATATCAGAAAGTAGGTTCCAATTTTCATGTACTTTTTCAACTTGTTCTAACCTTGTTGTTGACTTTTTGGACATAGTATCATCATTTTTCTGCATGTCAGAAAGTGGATAAAGACTTTCTTCTTTTTCTTCAATTTGTTCTACCATGGTTGTTGGCTTTTTGAACATTCTATCATCAATTTTCTGCATCTCAGAATGCTCCTCAAGTCTTTTCAATTTTTTTTCAGCTCGTAAAACTAACCTGTAAATAATTTTTTTTATAATTTTTAATTCATAAATGTTTAACAATATTCACTTTTTTTAAAAAAAAATCTCAACCCTTACATTACAATTTTCACAATCCTTTGAACTTCTTGAAATTCTTCTTCAGTTATCATATCTAAACATTCTTCCTGAATTTCTTTGACATTTTGAACAGCAGGCACCATTTTGTTGTTTTTCTTTTCAATTTCTCCTGCAATTTTAATAACAAGTATTAATAATATTTGCTCCAGACCAAACTGCATTACTCTGCATTTTGTCCACCATACAACATTGCTGTTGATTTTTTTGGCCTAAAAGATTAATCTAGAATTATTAGTAAAGGATAGAATGAAAATTATAGATAATTAATTTCAAAAAGGATATCAGTTAAATGATCATTTTATTGAATAATATATTTTTGAAGACTTCTCCAGATGTCTCAATCTGTTTTTGATGTGTTCCCTCTGAAAAAATTAGGAAAATCCAACCTCATAATTTATGATAGAAATTCTGTTACTCATTTTCTTTTAGTAAGATAATCAACGCACACCTTCTCTTTTTCTGATCGTTAACCCCTTTTATTCTGCACTTCATGGATTAGGCTTGAGCCTGTTCTGTCTGCACAAGTTTCCCTTCCATAACTTTTGGGTCTTCCCACGTCTCTCCTTTCAAGCGGCTAGTAGAGTAAAGCTAATTTAGGTAGTCTTGAGTCATCCATCCTTTGCGTGTGTTGATACCAATTATCTCGATAATTATTTATTTTACTTCCAATTTCTTCAGCATTTAATTTTTCTCTTATCTTCTCATTACGAATATGATCTTCTTTCATGCAGCCTAGCGTTCTCCTCAAAAACTTCATTTCAGCGGCCTTCTGCTTACAATTTTTTTTGTTGGTACCCAGCTTTCGCTTCCATATAGAAGAGTTGGAAGAGCCATGGTCTAATAAAACTTTATTCTTGTGTCTTGTCTTGTCTTGTTCTTTAGTGTGTTATGTATAGTACCACAAATCCTTTGAAACTTTGCCAATTAAATGTTGATATCTTTATTGGTATCTTGATCGACTTGACAACCTAAGTAATTGAAATTGGAATTTTGCTCTAAGATTTTTTTGTCCAAAATAATTTTTGATCTTATTAAATGTTTTCCCCAAAATGCCATCACCTTTGTTTTTTCTTTTGATATTTCAACATCGTATTTTTTACATAAACGATTTAAGTGGAATAATGCATATTGTAAATCATCTTCTGTTTCCTGGAATATCAAAGCATCGTCTGCGTAGAGTAAAATATTTAAAATATTTTCTTTTGATATCCTGATACCTTTGTAAATTATTTGCTTCCAATTTTGGATAATGTCATCGATATAAATATTAAAAAGTGTCGGTGATACTGGGCAGCCTTGCCGTACTCCTCTGTTTATCAATATTTTATCAGTTTCATTTGTTCCTACTAATATAACAATAGTAGAATCTTTATACAAGCTCTTTATTGCTTCTACTAACTTTTAGGATATCCATTATTTTTCATTATAGACCAGAGTTTTGCTCTATTTACATTATCAAAGGCTTTTACAAGATCTATGAAAGCTATGTGTGTCTGTTGGTTGAACTCCTTTCTTTTTTCTATTATTTGTTGCAGTATAAATATGTTGTCTGTAGTCGATCTCCCCTTTCTAAAACCATTCTGTTCTTCACCAATAAGAATTTCTGAGATACATTTTAATCTTTTATTTAGTATTCTAGCGTACAGCTTATACACTGCATTTAAGATACTGATTCCTCTATAATTATTACAATCTCTTCGATCTCCTTTTTTAAATATGGATATTACTTTAGCTGTTTGCCATGATTCTGGTATATTGTTAGTTTGCCAACAGTAATTTACAATGTGTTGTAGTCACCAGCGAAGCATCATCCCGCCATATTTTAATAATTCCGCGATTAGGATGTCTGTTCCAGTTGCTTTCCTATTTTTAAGTTCTTTCAAAGCCTCTTGGATCTCAATTATTGTTATGGGATCGACTTCACTGCATACCACTTCACATGTTTCATGCTGTGCTTCATTTCTGTTATACCATAAATTTCTGTAGTGCTTAATCCAGTCTTTCTTATCAATTACATCTATTCTCGCTGTATCTTTTTCTTCTTTGTTAAGTTGTTTAAGAATCTTACAAGCAAAATTCTGTCTTCCGTGTATATCACTTTCTATTTGGCTTATAAATGTATCCCATGCTTGTTGTTGAGCTTGTCGAATATAATTTTTTGCTAGGTTGCGCTTTTCCTTGTATCTTTCTTTACTCTCTTCAGTATCTTGTTGTAGGAGCTGAAGACAAGCTTTTTGTTTGTTTCTTACTAAGTTTTCAATCTCACTATTCCAAATTTTCAGACCTTTATTACTTCTTATTTTCTTCTTTCTGCCTCAGTTGGAGTTTCTAATAATTAATTCTGCAGTCTGGTTTCATACAGCAATTTTATACTTTCTTCTTGCAGAAGATGTACTATGTATACTTCTTCTGAGTTGTTCTTTTGTTGTTTTGTAGTCCTTCATCTTTTCCAGAGATTGAATTTGCTAATTAATATAAAGTGATCAGAGCCTATATCACATCCCCGATACACTTGGACATCTTTCATTTGTGATTTTAATTTTTCATTTATTAGGAAGTAATAAATTATTGTTTTGTATCCTCTAGCACACCAAGTATATTTATTTACATCCCGTTTTCTGAAAAAAGTGTTAGAGATCTTTAAACTGTTCGTGCTAGCAAAATGAATAAGTTCGTTTCCATTATTGTTTAGGGTATTTTCTCCAAATGTCCCAAGTATTCCCGGTATAGGTGTTTTACCTATACTTGCATTAAAGTCTCCTCCTACAATAAGATGATCGTTTTTATTTGTTTTGTAAATATGTTTCTACAGTAGCTTATATAGATCTTGTGTTTCCTCTTTTTTGCCTTCTTCTGGGGCATACAGTCCTAATATTGTCAGATGGCCTCTAGAAATCTTAACTCTTAAAGATATCACTCTCTCATTAATAAAATTATAACTTTCAATTCTTGATTTCCAGCTTTTATGAATAAGGATGGCTATTCCTGCCCGCGCCCTTTCATTTTGCCATACACCACTATAAATCATTATGTATTCATCCAGTTCTTTTGTCCCTTTCAATTTTTTCTTAGTTTCTGTGATGATGGCAATTCGTATTTTTCTCTGGAGCAAAATTTTCTCCAGTTCCATCTCCTTAGACCCTAATCCTCTTACATTCCAAGTTGCTATCCTTAATTCTTCCGCAATTCCTTTATTCTTGTCCTTTTCTGGTCGTCGACTGTTTTGGTCTGGCATTATCTTGTGAAGATTGCGAGTATAAGTTTAACTCCGAAGAGGTAACCAGCCTCTCGCGAAGTTTGTGATGTGATAGGGCTGCCATCTTATGGCCTTTTTTTCCTGCCATCATGCGTATTAACCCCACATAGGGGTTGCCTCTTCCATGGGCCCTCTTCTGGTGTTGTTGAGGTCCTCTTCTGGAGTACTTCTTCGTCTGACTCCTCTCCATCGACCTGACAGGCAAGGGTGGCCCTACCAGTAGCTATGCTACTGCCGGCATAGCTCTCAGGGTCATTGGGGCACTCAAGCTCCACCACCAGCGTCAAGGTCATGTACTCCGTAGGTGGGAAAAACATTTTATATATTTAAAAAAAAAACATTTTATATTTTTTATTAGATTTTAATACTAATACAAAATACGTCTTCTTCTTTTTAGACAGATTGTTATAATCACTTGAGTATAGTACATGTTATAAATTATTAAATATCATCAATTAACATGAATAGAAAATTGAAAAATGACCCAAATATATTTTGGTACATATGTGGTACAGTGATCTAGCTAGGGTAAAGATAAAAAATTACGAGTACAGCATTTGTGAAGGCTAACTATTATGCTTATTTTGATATGAAATTGAGAGATCAGACCAAGACCTTTGCTCCACAGCTATGTAGTCAAAGATGTGTTAGGTAAGCTTAGACGGTGAAACAAGGGAATCATAAAGGTATTTACCCTTTAATATACCTTAGGTGTGTAGGGAAAGAAAGGATCATTTATAATTTTGTTTTGAGAGACTTTATTTTATATTTCAGAGATAGAGGGGTATCAAGGTCCCTGGGTCATCAATATGATACCTGACTTTTGTTGGTGTGTGAAAAAAGATGTACCTGGAGCCATATATATGTGAAAGACGCTTAAGTAATAATTTCTATAAAATAAATTATCTTATAAAAAAAATAAAAAAGAGAGCCTGTAAAATATAATAAAGACAAAGTGAAATAGCTACATGTATTGCAATCATTCACATTTACAATTCATGAGTGACACATACAGAAAGAAAGTAAAAGGGTACCAATATTCTTCACAATATGTATATCTTTTAAAATATAATTTTCAATTAACAAAGGTAGCACTGAACCTATCCTGTGTTTAATTCTCTTAATAGTTACCTTCATATAATCTCCTGTTGTTTTCATGTCTGTTTTCAGGTTATTGACCCTCTATAAATAGAAATTGTCTCAAAGGTAAAAATAGTATGTGAAGTAGTCATAGGATACATAGCACAAAAACTAAACATAATTGAGGAAAACTCATATTATTTCCGAGTTCAGCTTGGTCAATTCCTAAAAAAACGGAAAAATTTAAACATCAAAAACTTTCTTTAAACCGCAGGCCAACGTAATCAATAGACTATTTTATTTAATGATATTTTGTCAAGACTAATGATCTTTTAGGCCAAAAGAGATATTAGTTTGGATTGCAAAAGGTAGATTATCAGAAGTAGTATGTATGGACGCCCTCATGAATAATCAAAGTTTTCGACTTTAATCGATTGTCCTCTTGAAAAGTGCTAAGAAAAAAGCACTTTCTCTGATGGTCCTCAGTAACTTAATTTCGGTACATTTTAGGCAAAAATGTATTAATACAAATCTTAATGGGCAATAAATTTCACTTCAGTTCATGTTAATGTTTTGAAATTCACTTCAGGCTATCTTGATACATGGCAACGAAAAGTGACTAAAAAAATGCAAAAAGATTTGCCATTTGTTTTACATTAGTAATTATATTCTGAGTAGTTGAGTTCAAATTTTTACGGTTTATTATTTTTACTGTTTTTCAAGATGATTCTGAGAAATAATAATAAATTCAATGTTTTAATTAAATTTATAAATAAATAAATAATATTTTGTAATTATTTTAGCTTACTTAGTAATAAATAAATTTTTATTTGTACGAAGAAATTGATTATGAGACCAATTTCAAACATACTGTATCCTGAATAAGAGGTATAATATTTTAACAGTATTATAGGTGTCACAGTTCTTTCATGATTTTAATACCAGAATATAAAGAATCTTCTTCCCCTGATGCCTCTCAGCATATGGTTTGCCAGGATATATGTCACAGGAGCGGAGCTACGCTAGGAGAGGTGAAGCCCAAGGCACAAGACAAAAAGAAGTATGTCAAATGGCATCAGGGGAAGAAGAAGAAGGAATCATGGGAAACTATTTCTTCAGAGAAGTACCATCTAAGAATGAATTACACCACCATGTATTTGCTGAGTAACCTGCCAATTTGGGTTGCTTCTTGAGCATACTACCTGTATTTTTCTTCATCTCTGCTAGTTGACCAAGTCTTTCCTGTTTCTCAGCCAAATGATGTTCACTACAAAAAGAAAGAAAAAATGTAGTGCGTTTTTGATTCACAAAAACTTACAGATAGCCTACCTATTCTTTCTCAAGAAGAAAAATTAATCCCTTACTCTTCCTTTATGACGTTTTAGCTCATTAGTGATTGTGTCCAACTTTAATTTCTAAACCTGCTTTCATTTGTTCGACATCTTGAATGACAGCCACTGTTTTTTCTACTCTTTTCAATTTGACCTGTTATTTAAATGACAAATATTACTAGATTTTTCTGCATTTCACTGTTTTTATCTGCATTACTTTCTATGATCTTTTAATTTCACAATATGAAATAATCTTGTAGAGGAGTGAGGGGCTAGTGTAGACTGGGGGCTAATGTAAACAAATGTTATTCCATATGTAACACACATATTCTGTCAAAATTATTTCTTAGATGTTAGCCCCATTGTCCTCTTTATGCCTGACGAGTTTGGCCAGTGGTGGCCTAAGGGGGAAAGTGAGTTTTGTGGTTAAATTCAAAAAAGTTGTGACACCATTAAAAGGTAAGTACAAAGTTTTGGTTTTAAAATATGGATTTTAAATGTGCTTTGGATGAAAACTTTGTTTTAGTTATCTTCTGCACACAGAAAAAGTATTTTTCATTTCAGTACAAATTGATACTGACTAAAAAATCTTCAAAATGGGGGGTGGGGGTAAAATGGATATTGACTTTAAGACTGTCCACACTAACCCCACAGTGCCGAACAGCAACATTTTACAGTTTTTATTCAGTGTGTAAACATAATCACACATGTGCAAAGATTTTTAATTAAATGAGCAACTATAAACTGTTTAGGAGAGCATGTTTTATCATTCAATTAAGTTATAGACACAATATCATGTTGTTTCAATGTAGCCATGAGCTTAAATATAATTGTTCTGAAAATTATTGAACAAATAATAATATAATCTATACCTTGTGTAGACAATAATTGCTAAATAAGTAAATACTATCTTTCTTAATTAGTAACCTTTTTTCTTTCTCATTTCCGATGGTTATAGCGTATATTAGAACACAAAGACACAATATTGGTGAGGAAATAGTGAAAGACGCTTTATATTGCATTGATAAGCCTTCAGAACTCTTTCTAATAAGATAATGTGTTAAGAGTACATTAAAAATACAAATGAAACAAAAAATTGTTTTTGTCTGTGTCTACATTAGCTCCCAAGAGGGGCTAGAAAAAAGAAATGTAAATGTTTTAAAAACATGAATTTAAACTGTATTTAGGAGGAAAATATTACAAGTGCTTAAATATCAGACCAAAAATGATAAATGAAATGCTCTTAAAATGTTTTAAAAATGCCTTAATACCAAAACAAATCACGTAAAAATTGAGATCAATTGAGATCAAGTTGAGATCAGTATGGATGAAAAACATGTTGGATACATTATTCTTGTAATCCAGGCTCTCGAATTATTCATTCAAGTGAACTAAGTTTTCAAACTTTTAGTTTGGACTGCTCTTTACTAGGAAATCTCTGCCTTCAGTTTTCACAAAATCAGCCCAACCGATAATGGCGCTGATAGGCGTCACAGGAACAGATTACATACTCACAAAGGCTGATATTGCTACTTCTGAGCAAAGATATCAAATTGGTTTGGGAATTTCATGGTGAACATTTGTTCATAAATATTATTTGAAGCAAGTACCATTTAAAATGATGTTAAAATCGATGAAATCAGCGAAAAATGCATAAAAAATTATTTATTAGTCGCAATCAACAAAAGTAGCAAAAAAAGGAATGGGTGAAAAACCAGCACAGTATATTATTTTGTAAAATGGTGACATTTTATAAATTCCGAGAAAAAATATTAAGCTATATTTCAGTGCCAATGTAATTTTGTGGTTTTAATGAACAATTGAAATGCCATGATTTTAGTGAGGAAACAAAGCACCATGACTTGACAGTGATATTGAATTAAATAAACACTTTTCTCAGAGTTTATAAAAATGTCACTTATACTGTTTTGATTGTCACCCATTCAAATGACATAAAAATGAGTAAGCTATTTCCATTTGTTATGGCATAAAATTAATTTCTATACTAATGTCATTGTTCTAAAGGGAGAAGAAAAAATTACATTTAATTAAAATCTGCCCCCCTACACATAAGTAAAGATACACTAAGGTATCCAGCAGTCACAGAATGTACTTTAAATTAAAGAAAGACCAAGTTATAGCATTCTGAACGAAAAATGTCCACTCTAGCTCCCCTCCCCCCACAATTACTACAGATTTCATTAAAACAATGTAAATTTTAAAATGTAAAGCAATGTATTGATCATTTTTTCAATTTATTATTATTCAGTATTTTAGTGTCGATTGATGATTGTCTAACATGTAATAAAATAAGCATTGTCCATATTTAAAGTAAATTATCTCGAGCAGGAAATGAGGAAATATAAAGCAGTATCCCCATAACTAGTTATATCAGAGTTCCAGATTTTTGAAGTAGGTGTGCTGTATTCATATTTTAAAACATATATTTACTACTACCTTTTAACATGCCTTTAGTAAGTCTATTATCCCAAACCTTTACATTTCACTATGATTTATTAAATAACAATTATCTGAAAATATTTGCAATACTGGCAAAAGAAGAAATTACTATTGACTAAATTAGTCAGTATTTCTTTTACACTTTGACACATACTTCTTGACTAAATTGTTTGTGAATGATTGTGACTATGTAGTCATATTGCATTTATGAATTTAGCCAGAAATGTAACTAGAGTGTTGCTGCAAAAAGATTTAGTTTTCCCATATAACATTACTGACAGTTAGGAACAAAGTGTAAACTATTTCTTCTGAGTAATGTCTAAAGAAATGGATACCTAAAACATGTATTGACTAACTAACCTGTTATTGACTTTTTGAACATACTATCGCCATTTTTCTGCATCTCAGAAAGCTGATCAAGTATTTCCTCTTCTTTTTCAACTCCTTCCACCCTGTAAAAAATGTTACTTAATAAATTTTAATTAACAAATGTTTTGTTATATCCATATTTTTCAAGAAAAAATTTAACATGTGAGTGCAATACTGATCTACGATCTATCCCCCTCAATAAAGTTAAAAATTAAATTGCTATTTTTTCTGTTCACAACAGTGTCTTAGCACACTATAAAGCTTTAACTTGATTTTTCTCTGATTCCTTAAAATGTGGCTTAGACCGCTATTGAATTAACCCATTCAATTTAACTTTTACTCTTTAGTTTTTAGAAGCATTTTAGTTTCTTGATATTCATGTCCAGCTGCCACTTCTAAACATTCTTCCTTAATGTCTTTGACATTTTGAACATTGGGAACTATTTTGTACTCTTCATTTCAATTTTACCTGCAGTTAACAAACTGCTTTACACTGCAGTTTTCCCACCACTTTTTCTCATAAAAATTACTCTAGAATTAATTTAAAATGTTGTAATAACAATTATAGATAATTAATTTTAAAAATTATATCAGTTAACTGATAATTTTACTATATATTTTGTGAAGACTACAGATGATTATACTTGTTACAAAAGTGAATTTTCTGTATTTAAAATAAGTTATTATCAGTCCACAGAAACAATTAAATACATACGAATTATAATCAAGGATAAGTTAAGCATATCATATTTCCTCATTGCTGAGAAAAGTTTGCTTATCTTCATATTTTTCAAAATACATCTGCAAGTATCTTTTTATTTCCTTTTTGGTAACAATCTGATAATTGATAAGACATGAGCTCTTAGATTTTACTTTGTTTTATTACTTATTAATACTGTTGAACTAAAAAAATATGTTCAAATATCTTCAAGGAAAGTTATTAACATTGAATTATCTGCCAGTATTTATTAAAAGCTTTGAATAACACTTCTTTACTAGTAATAGCCTTTGCTTATATAATGAATGCATTTGATTATACTGTTATAGTTGATGAACTCAGATCTTAGACTTAGCTTAGAATAAATTTAGTATCACGATCGAACGTTATTTAATTTTGTATCTAAGAATAACTGATTATGCGAAATACTGAAACCTATGGAAAACTAATATCCAGAGCTACGATTTGTATGTAGGCATAATTTCAATTTGTAATTAGTTACGATCAAAATTCTGTCATATTTTTGTAAATTTGACTTTTTGAAGTGTTTGAAACATATTTAACGATCCATGTTTCTAGGTATAGAATATATTTTAAAATACTATTTAACTCTTAACTAACACGGTGCGGTCTAACGGATTGCTGTTCATATTGCGTTGCTTTTAATTCCCTGCGATGTGAAACGTTCGCACCATCTCTCCTCCTACCTTTCCAGGATCTCATCGCCTTCCAAATGAAGTCCCTATTGTCTCTCGATAAACTTTCGGTTTTGTTTATCGCCTACTTTTCCAAGAACGTTGTATCAGCGGTATTAGACATCTCGTGTTGGTCGCGTTACGATAGTGCCTAAGTAACAATGCATGCCGACGTAACAATGAGTGAGCATTTCGTCTACAGTACCAGCAGCATATAAGCGACTCTGATAGTTCGCTGCGCTGTTGCCGCACATTACTACACGCTACACGCCATCTATACGACAAATAAATGAAATTTCAGAACATTTAACTCTTACCGACAGGCAATGAAACATCTTGATATCATGTTCAAAATTTTCGCATTATCGCATTATTTAGTGTGAGTCAAATGAGCGGCAACGTTGAACGCTGGCTGAGAAAAAGTAAACAAATCCTCGCAAGCTGATTGCTTCAGAGCAGGTCACATGACGTACCACAGCACGTGGCAAGAGAACTGTCAGTCACTTATACGCTGCCGGTAGTGTAGTAAATTCTTTACGGATTTATTTTGAGGTCTTGAAAAACTTTGTGGTAAAAATTTAATTTAGATAGCTAGCCTATATAATGAAGAAGCTGTTCATCTTCTTCAGGAAGCTGACTTTTCGGACTTGATGAAATTAGGAATGAATTGCCATTAAGACAATATGTAATATATATATATATATATATATATAAATATATATAATATATATATATATATAATATATAATATATAATATATATATATATATATTATATAAAAATTTTACACATGATAATGGCATCAATCGAATCAGAGAGTTAATAACAACATGTAATACTATTTATACTTCTCTCCAAATTCACACATCTTTTTCGTAAAACTCATTACAAATTAAATATTTTCAAGCAGATATCAACACAAATTTTAGAATTATAACCGCTTTTCTTATAGGTAAATCATATCGCAACAATAAGGCTTAAATCCGAGAAAGTAGCTCTCGAGTCATTGTTGCAAAGCCATCCTTGCAATCCAATCTGAAATTCCGTGAAGGCTTGCAATTTTTATTTTATATATTTCAAATAGCTTTTAAATAATTTCTCAAAGATTAATTTGTAAATGTATAACAAAAACTCGAATCTAAGAAACGAAAAATATATGAAATAATAAACAAATACAAACGTATGAAGCATCCAACTGCCTGGAATTGCGTTCACGAATCGCAGTAAATTCGGAGAGGGTGACTATTGCGTATGTCGCCAAATTACACAAAAATACAATTAAAAAAAAATTCAACATGACCCTATCTGAAGATTTATGTTTGATTAACATTTTTCATTAAGAAGAAAATGTATCTTCACAATTGTAGTTGTACAAAGGCGCCGAAAATATTTTTTTTATTTTTTAATTTTCGCAAATCAGGTATTTTAACGAGATTTCGAACAAAATACTCATGTTTCTTATCAATTCAACATGACATTATTTCAGATGTGAACACATTTCATGAACACATTTCATTAAGAAAAAATGTATATCTTCATAATTGTAGTTGTAGGAAGTCGTGGAAAGACTGAATTTTTTTAATTTTCGGAAAATTGGGGCTTCACATTATCTTCACGTCATTCACACTATCCAATACCAAAGTTTAATTAAAAAATGTTGGAGCTTTTTTTTTTCTTTCTTTTCTTTTTTCTTTTTCTTTTTTTTTTAATTTGGAAAATGTCCCAATGGCTTCATGTGAAGCACACCTCCCAAATTGAAATATAGGTTTTAAATTCAAGGGACCGCAACATCAGTTAGATTGATCGGGGAACATCAATTTTGAAAAACATCGGCTGAACAGCTTAGCCAATAGCGTTGTTCACAGACGGACAGACGTTTGCTGTCAATTGATTATAGGGTTGCAAGTGTTCACAAAACATGTATTCTGGCTACACCACGTATTAGAGGATTTTTTACTTCATCTTGCAACTTCTTCGTAAGAAGTGGAAGTTATGTAATCGTGCGGCGGAAAACGACGAATTTTCACCAGAAAAAGTATTGTAGTCGGTGAGAGCGTAGGCTTCCGCTGCCGGAGTCAGTATTTACTAGGCTGTCCGGGTCCCGGACAGCCTTGTAAATATTATAGTCGGGCTCTGATAACGAAAATGTGAATAAATCCCGTTGCTAAAATTAAAGAAAAAGTCCTCTCACACGTGGTGAAGCCAGAATCCATGTTTTGTTGGTTCTTGATGTCAAAAATTTCGATTGACGGGAAAACGTCCATCTCTCCCTCCGTCAGTTTGTGGTCAACGCTAGCAGCTAAACCGTTCAGACGATTTTCTCCAAAATTGATATTCCTCAATCGATCTGTTTGATGTCGCGGCCCCTCACATTTCGCGTTCTTCTCGTTCGTGCCGCTAGATGTCGCATGATCGCGACCGTATCGAGCAGTGCTGGCAGTCATGGGACGCGCCAAGAAATAAAAACCGAAGCTACCACTACCGCGGTAGAGAGAAAGTAATAAAGAGACAGAGTACCCCTGCTACAAAAATCCGTCTTATATTATCATAATGTGCAATGAAACTTCGTGCAGTTTAGGGCAGTTTTTATAACTTTGCCTCTCAAGGCCCTACTTCACGGTGGCATTATATCACGTTTTTCGCGTTTTTCTCGGTTGTGCCCCTAGATATTTCATGATCGCGATAGCAATGCTGGATACGGTCGCGATTATGCGACATCTAGCAGCACGACCGAGAAAGATGCGAAATACAGTGATGACGGTGACATAATGGCACTGTGAAGTACGGAAATAGAGTCGACAAGTGGAACTACAACAGTACATACATTCTTGTATTATTTGTAACGGCTCCGCTCATGTTGCGGAGCCGTTACAAATAATACAAGAATGTATGTACTGTTGCAAAGGACCGAGAGTTTACTATGTGTTCTGTGTCAGCAAAATATGCAATTCAGAAAGTAAAATACAATTTTGCCCAAGAGAGCAGTTAAGGTAGTATTTTAAGGAGCCTACAGCCGCTTCTACCAGACCATTTCAAAAATAGAGAGCGTGATGGGCACAACTGCCATTCTACTCCATGTACAGCGAGGAAACTTTTGAGAATTGAGTGTTCCTGCTGTGTGCTAAAAATCTTTGATAACTCAACAAACTGGCTTTTTGTTTTCGCAAATGTTTTAGCATTACCGCTATATTCTCGAAGGCGGGAAGTTTGAAATGTATAATCTTTACTTTTAAATGCCTGCAAAGAGTAGCAAGATGTTCGATGTGTGGCGCCAAATTTGAATTAATTTGTCGGCCCATTACGAACACAACTGGATTCTGCTTATTGGTCAAATATTCAGGAACATAATGTAAATAACCAAAAATAGGTATGTTCTTTCAAAACTTATGAATTGTATTAAGATTTGTGGAACGTTTGAACTTGCAATGACAAATTCAAATGAAGAAATATGAAGAGTCCAAAATCTATAACGCGCGGTGCAGAACCGCCACGTTATTTACTCACGAGCCGCCACTGCAAAGTAGGACGAGAGTGTTTCTTGATTAGTTGTCAGTGATCCCGGGTGTTTCAAATACCAAGGTTATTAGACCCTTACGTGTAGTGCATGTTTTTCCTCAGGAGGTGGCGATGAACTTCCCCTCCTGGATGGCGAGAACCGGTGCCGACCT